TGGCTGACCCAAAACACATTTTTGCGAATTTCTCGGAAACCGAGTGTGCACCGAAATTAATTTTGGTGGGCCTAAACTGCACCTAAATTGCACCTAATTCCTGAATAATATTTACCAGTGTTCGACGAAAACTAGTGGGTGGGTCAGCTAGTGTGACGTCACGCGGCCTGACCCATATATTTTTGCAATTTTCTCGGAAACCGAGTGAGCACTTAAATTAATTTTGGAGGCCCTAAATTGCACCTAAATTGCACCTAATTCCTGAGTAATTTTTATCATTTTTTGGAGAAGTGGGTCAGCTAGCGTGACGGACGTATATGGAATGCTAATCCCTTTCGATGTCCTGTTTTACCGATGGTCTTATTTGTACCTGTGAGATCTCTGCCAAGCGTGCGTAATATTCTTCTATGATCTTGGAACTTCAACATTGGTCCGTAAACCATGCAAGCCAATAAAAGTCCTTATAAGATAACTAAAGAGCACAGATGAACGTTTTCAGTTATAGGAGGGTCAAGAATACTCGCCCCCCAACAGGATGAAAAGTTTTCCCGTACATTGACTAAATGAGTCGTGTGATCTCTTAAATATCGTTCAAATGAAGCCATTGATGTACCCACCGGGTTCCTTTTTTACGGATGTGGTCGAATCTTTCTTATCATTTTGCCAACATCGCATTTAGGGTGTATGAGGTCGTCAGGCAAATGTGCACTTACTCAATGTTGTGGTCTTTACATGCATACGTACACGAATCCTCCATTTAACCATATGAAAGGTAAATTCATCTAAGATGAATATAGGACCAAAGCAGACCAGACTCAGTGTGGGTTTCTATATATTTCGGCGGTAGCGCAATCCATTAGGTCCCTTTTCTGCAAAACCACTGCTTGTCATGACGTAAATACGCATTATGAATTTCAATCAGATTTTATAAAATATAGCGGGTTAATTTTTTGGAAACGAATTTTTCATCATACAGGTAGCTCACTTTACGAATTTGAACGAAATCGATTAATAAATAAGACTTTTATAAGTAACTCTGCTCCAGCGCCACCAGCGTGTTGTCTAGTAGGCTATAATATGACTATATATGCAAGTTATAACCTCTGACAATTTGACTGGTTTCTGAGTTTAGTCCGAACAATAATAACGCCTATCTATTTGTCAATGTTATTGTGGCTTATTAACATTTTATTTTTAATATTCTTATTGAGCTTTGTACCACGATTGTTTATTCGGAAACATTGAAAAAGCAAAAAAGTCTAAGCGGTAGAAGTTATAGCAGCTATTTCGGAGATCACCACATCTACTCATCAGACTTCTTTTTTCTAGACTTCAGCAGGGATCGAACCTGCGTAATCGAGGTAACAAAAATCTGTTCATAAATAGCACTTTTATCGGGTCCGTTTTTCGCAAATGCTTTTTTCATCATGCAGCTTATACTTTGAATTTGAACGAAATCGGTTCATAAATATGACTTACAAATAACTCGACTCCCGCGCCGCCTAGCAGATCTATTTTTGATAAACGTATCTTCTATCATCTTGGTAGCTTACATTTTGAATTTAAATGATATCGGTTCATAAATACGATTTTTATAAATAACTCGACTCCAGCGCCACCTAGCAGGTCTATTTTTCGCACACGTATTTATCATAATGAAGGTAGTACACGGTTTGATTTTCAACGAAAGCAGTTCATAAGGGGCCTTCGATGAGGTAAAGCCTATTAGACCAAAGCATTTGTGAGCGGCGACTTTAATTTGGAGAGTACAAATTGGAATCCCCTGAACAATAGTCGATCTATTAGATTGATTTTAAAAACAGTAAAAGACCAACCTATAGTGATTTAGTAAACGACCAACCTTTAGTGAGTTAGTTGATACTCTTCCATCTTCAATTTCATGTACGAAAAATAATCAAAAATGCTTTACGACACAATAGTATAGAAGAGAGTTCAGTGGAAGAGTAAAAGCCTTTATGACCGAGTCTCCCATCTATTATTACTAGCGTTATCATTTATTTTATGTACATATATTGGCTGGCTTCAACAGCTGAGTTGTCTGCAATGCCGGCTACCAGTGAATGCACAATCACGACGATACGGACACAAACGTCTTATGTACAAATACATTTGCCAGGCGGGCGAGCGGTTCATTGTTGTCGGCATTTATATGATCACTTCGCCACTAACGATAAACCTAAATCTAACTACCCAGTAGAAATTTGATGCATACGACATCGCTGTTGGTGGCATGTTGGTTCATTTCAATTTAACACGCGTGGTTTCTCAGAGCGTATGCGTACTCTAACCATACACTTGTACTACTGCTGTATGCATATGGCTGTATTAATTTTTCAAACAAACAAAAATGCATTAATGGAACAGTATTAAAGCATTCTTACAAGATATGTATCCCCATATGTAAATGCTACTTTTCTGATACATTTTAATATACGGAGACATACAAAAAAGTAGCATTTACATATTTTACATATATTACAAAAACTCCACTTCAAATTTATCAAGAAATGTACTAAAAACAACGACAACGTACATTCGCTTGCAATTCGCTAGAATTTGAATTTATTCGTGGAAATTCATGACTACGCATGAATTGTTCACACTAACAGGTCTATTCTGCGCTGGTAATAAAAAGTTTGTAACCGGTAAATAAAGTTCTTGTCAATTTTTAAACCCTTTTCGCATTCTGTATACTCTTGTAACCGGTAAATTTTGTTACCATCTCATAAGCTGGTAACAAATTATTGCCCCGTGAAATATGCAATGCCAGGATTTGCACAATTCTTCATAGCTGAATTGCTGAATATTTTAACTGCATTACCAACGTACCTAGAATCGCGGTGACAAGAACTGGTAACATTTTTTGGTAAAATAATTTTCCGGTTACAAAATCTTCGGTAACGTGCAGAATAGACCTGTTATTCATTCATATAGCAAACATTCTTCATGAATGCATGCAACCGATTTCTACTGGGTATGTATGTACATACATACGCACTCATATAAATGTATGTATTTATGTAATATGTATACACTCCCTTGTTTATTATTTTGTCCCACGTTATAACACTACCATTTGATCAGCTGATTATAGGTTTGATCAGCTGATTTCATGTTATTCCACGATTATTTCTTGCGTACTTATTGCTTCTTAAGTTCTGGGAGAGAAAATAAATAACTGATTATAATAAGGTCACGCCCTTCTACAAATGAATATATATTATAAGGGACCTAATTGCATATATGTATGTATACACACAGTGTCGTTCACGTAAAAAGTTACGGTTGCCAGACGTACTGATTTTATCAGTACAGTACTGGGCTCGAATCGTAACATCCGTTCACGGATCGAAAGCGATACGAAAGAAAATTACGTGACACGTCAAGCAGTATAAGCTGAGTGGGACCAAGAGTACGTTCTCGTAGATATGTCATAATGCGAAAAATGTGTTTTTACGTGACGAGTAATACGATAACGTATGTTACGATTCGAGCCCTGATATTTTCAAGAAGAAGAAAATAATTTAATTATAGTTGACATTCAGATATGCCCAGGAAATTAATACTACAAAAAGATCAATCGTTTTATGGACATATCGCCGGGTCGTTACGTACATATATGCAAGAAAAATGTTCAATTTATCAAACTATTCAAATGAACACATTTGAAAACTTTGGGGGCGAAAGCAGTAAATACATTTTTCCAGCGCATTAAAAATGGCAAAAGTATGCCGTTTTATGGTTTTTTCATTTCTACCAAAAAATTTCGCCTTTTTATTGCCCCTTTCTCTTTTCGCGTTCTATTCTAAAATAAAGGCAAAGGGTAAGAAAATTGTGTGTTCGTTTCCTAAAATGTCACACTCTTGCAAGACAAAAAAGGCACATTCTATACCCTTTGAATGTGCTTTGTCAGGGGAGATGGTTGCCCTGAAAATTAGATGGTTGCTTAAAACGACAATATTATGAAATGCGTGAGCTTGACAAGGACAAGAGGGCAAAAGCATGCCCTTTTATATGGTTGAATGTAACATCAAACACGTTTTGCACCGTGCAAGGCCAACATTTTTTGGATGAAACGAAATCACCATTACTCACTCATTGATTTGTTATGTGAAAGACACGCACGTCAATTGCTTCCTTTAAAATAAACATCTGACCAGTGTTGTCACTTCAGAAACCAAATTAATAAAACTGTGGTAGATCTCTAAGAAAGTGGGTCGAATAGGCTCAAAGTCATTGTTTATGCTTTAATAATAATAATAGATTGGCGCTTACACATATGTAATGCCATGTTCTGAACGACATCGAAAACATGCTTTCGTTGCTTAAACTTGTTTTCGTCCATGTAAAATCTATCAAACGAAAACCAGTTTTCGCTGAAAACTACTTGAAAACTCACGTTCCACTCATTCCAATCGATGTCTTCACTAGCTTTTTTTCGATTATTTATCGAAGTTGAAGTCATATTTTATCATCTTTAATACGCTATTTCGGATTTATTGTTAATTGGCTGGCCAAAGTAAAATAAGAATGAAAGTAAGTGGTTGCTAATTAAAAGAAAATGAGGGAAAAGCATTTTGGTTTGGTTTTTGCGTAGCGAAACTGTAATCAGAGGATGTAAGAAATGTCAACGAAAACACTAACAGCCGGTGTGAACAGTCTTCAGCCCACAATCCCAAAACTCGTTTTCGAAGTGTTTTCGTTGTCGGTCAGAAAATGGTATTAGTGTTTAGCCGAGCTTCTCCTCCGATTTGTGGCGTGCGCCTTGATGTTGTCACACAAAGCGGAGGGAACTACGATTTTACGCCGACTCCGAACGGCGATGGTATTTTTATGAGAAGCTGTTTTTCAGAAATACACTCGGAGGTTTGCCATTTCCTGCCGAGGGACGACCGCTGTTAAGAAAAAACCTGTTTTATACATTTTTTGCGATGTTGCTTTTACCAGGGTTTGAACCCAGGTGCTGATGAGTGAAAGCGCGCACTGCTTACCACTTCACCACAGCGGCCGACATTGTTTATGCTTTGGTGGCGAATATAAAGGTCTTAAACTGCACGAGATGATTTTCTAAGATATTCAACATCGCTTCACCAAATACGCCTGTGTAAACTATGGTTCCATTTTGGCAGCAAAAAAATCGCATGCCCCAATTTGGCAGTTGGTCAACTTTTGCCAGGCGATTTTTTCTCTATGGTGAATTTAACCTTTCCGTGATAAAATAGATCAAATATGGATCACCCATTTTGAATTTCTAAAATTTTATTCATAATCAGCGACTTTAAAACCCCTAATTGTAAATTTAAATTTTAGGTCCGCCATTTTAAATTTTTCCAATCTGGCTTCAGATTCGTAATCAGATACGAGTCCGCAAGTAAAAAGTTTCCATCAGGTCCAGATTTTGGGGCCAAAGTGTCAAAAAATCGCGTTTTTTGCAATATTTGAGAAGCTAGAAAGAAAACGTCATGTGATAAAAGCTCTCACTTATTCTCAAATTAAAGCCAGAACCCTCGACTATTGTCCCTGTACCTTAACCTGATGGTCACTTATAGTTACGGTGACCAGATTTCTGTGGCCAAAATTTCTAAAGCATCGGATCCGAGCATACAATTTTGTTTTTAGAATAAAAAAATCTTAATGCAGTTTTATTTAAAACAAAACAAAGAAAAAAAATTAAAAATTTTAGAATTTTTTTATGAAAACATAACTTACTATCTAAAAAAACATGTAAATGAAAATTTCAAAATTTGTAAAACATTGAATTTTTGTACAAAGTTTCAAATACATGGCCTTTGTTAGATAACGAGCCACACTTTCATAAAAAGGAATAAACATTAAATAATCGAAAGGGGAATAGCCAATGAAAGCTAAAATGTCTCTTTCCTATTTATATTTTCGCCACTCTATCTACAACTTATGTTTTTCATATCCACGTACCCACGATTTTTTTGGGGGTGTTAGTATTATTTTTTATAATTTCATTAATTATATTTATATATTATTTATAAAGATGTTGGCTATGTTTATGGCTCACAAATATTTGTTCTATGTCCTTTGTGATAACGAAAGTGCTGCATCGTTTGTACGAAAAATTGTTTTTGGACCAGAGCACAGGGAGAGTCTTAATAAATGAATAAAGAAAACGCTAAAAATCGGAACTCAATCGGTACAAATATGAAAAATCGGCGCACTTACCCGTCCCGACTTTTAAAAAATATTCAGCAGGACAATTTTCTCAAAATCGGTACTGTCCCGCCAAAATCGGTACGAATGGACACCGTACTTATAGTCATTTATTGAACAAGTTCAGTTTTTGCAGTCCAATAAACGACTATAAGTGACCTTTGGATCAAGATGCAGGGGTGGTATTTTCAGGGACAGTATTCCAGAGTTCTAATTTTAATTTAAGCCTGAGTGGAAGGATCTATCACCATTCGTTTCTTTGCTAGACTAGAGCTTCCCAAATATGTATAACACTTTGACTTTTTAAAAAACACCGTCACTGGCGCATTTGTGGGCGGAACTTGTTCATATTAACACCTTATACTAATATTCACTAAGGAAGCTTGTGTTACAAATTTCCTCCGGGTTAATTTTTACTATATATGGCCAGCTTTTTCGTGATTTTTCCCACTGTGGAACGCAGTTTTTTAGCCCATTTAATTTTTGTATAACAAAGTATGAGTTTTATTTGGAGGAAAATCCGTAGAACCGCCAGGAAAAAAAATATTAAAATTATTGAATGGGCGTAATTAATATTTTTTTTTTAAACCTGATCAAAAAGTTGGAAAATTTTGACGAAAATTCGTGGAATTTTCCTTAATTTTGAATAAAGCTTGAAACCTTTGTTTATATTATTTTGTTTAAAGCATGAAAAATAACAAACAAATTTTAACATGCAAAATATTGTGAATAGAGAAGGGTGTGTCAACACTTTTGCTGTTAAGTGTATGCACTTTCGATCACATTCGTTTCGTAGCATATGATCGGTGTCTGCGGGAATTTGGCGTGCGTGCGTGTCGCTTGGGCCCCAATGACGCTAGGTTGCTACGAAACAATATGCTGTATGCTGTGCTCTGCAGCGTGAGCTAAATTAAAACATTTTTTTTCTATAATCGTCCCCCACTTGTTATGTTTACCACCGTTATATGCGGCATATTTCCATTTTCAATAGTCTAACGCGTCAAGTTTGATCGGGTCCAAGCAGCTGAGTAGCAGCTGAATCGAGCCGGTCAGTACCGATGTGGTTTCGGCGTATCGTTATAATCGGCGGCGCTGTCGTCGTCGTTGTACTGTTCGTCCGTAATCAAAAAACCATGTGGTTTCCCAATATATGAACATTCATATATGTATATGTACATATGCATGTACAACACTACGAGTGTCTGGCCTGAAACGCACACTGTTGCTTTTAGTCAAAAGCTACGACCCAGCCCCAAAACTACATCGACAAGTTTGTGTGTGGACGCATACATATGTATGCACCTGATTTTTTCTTCTTTTTTGTGCAAAAGTATATGTAGCTGTATGAATGAGCGCCACTCACACTCTCAGCTGTTTTTACAGCGCCGGTATATTTCGAATCAGCTGCTAAAGCAGCAAAGTTGAATGAGTTGAGGTGAGCTAAATTCCCCCCACGTCATTTTGATTGCTTTGACTCACTGACTGCAGCGCAGCAGCTTTTTGCGTCGTGCTTAAAATGTTTACCCTTGTGTGGAAATTTTTACACGAGCAAACCTATACGCTACTATTGAAATGTTCATTAAAGTAAAAATTTTATACATCTCCAAATGATGGGATATATTTTACCCCCTATCTACAAATACTTATGTATGTGTTCTTATGCACTTTTTGTTGCTATAAATAATAATGAAGTACGATTTGATCAGGTAGCTAAATAGTTATTATTGGTGATCAATGTGCTGTATACGCGGTTAAATATTCCTCAAATATTCATTTGGGCCTTCTAGCGATGGTTTGTGCATAGTTGGAGTTACTGCGGCTAATCACGTAGGCCATCAGTAACGGGCGCAAATACCAAGAAATTTTCATTGAAATTTTAAAAGTTTCAATTCGATTTCGATAAGGGTAAAGTTTCAAGTCTCTAAAAATTACCGTTGACTTTTGAGACTTTTTTTGTCTAGGCAGTTGCGCATTTTCTTCTTCGAAAAATGTTCAAAAAATTATCAAAAAGCAACGGTAACTTTTAGCAACTTGAAACTTGCATTTAAGAAAATGGTATGGAAAATATGTAAATAAATGAATAAAATCGTCAAAAGGTCAGGGTATTTTAGACGCTGATTGTATATGAACTAGGGCTGGGACTATCCGGATATACATATGTTCGGATATTCTTGTATACGGATGAAAACCAAATGGTACTGATATCAGGTTTACAGCGTGGCGACGAATAACTGTTACCCCGGTTTTTTTGAGAAATAAAAGGGACCTTTATAGATTTTGCGAAAAAATTATTTTATTATTAATTTTCCACAGATTTTACTTTAGTTATATTAATTAGTTTTTAAATTTTAATCCTTCTTTACATTTGCCAGCAGTGTAAGTTTTGAGAGAAAAGTTCATTTGGCACGCAGGTCTTCTTCAGTTAATTTATTCCATATCTTCTGTAACCATAGGCAAATTTTCTCCATTTTGAGTCCCTTATACTCCCCGTTTTGTCCAACATAAGGCCTCATACTTAAAAATCGAATAGACTCGGAACTGGTGATTAGGACGGCCATTTATTCGACCAACCTTCTACAGTTTTTTTTGTATTTTTTTTTGTACAAATCCTAAGAAAAAATACACCTGAAAAAAACTTGCGTGCCAAATGAACTTTTCTCTCAAAGTTTAAACTGCTGGCAAATGTAAATAGGGATTAAAATTTAATAACTAATTAATACAACTAATGTAAAATCTGTGGAAAATTTACAATAAAATACTTAAAAGGACCCTTTTATTTCTAAAAAAAAAAAAAAACGGGGTAACAGTTATTCGTCGCCACGCTATATATTCTTTCATTTTGTTATCCGGATACCCAGGTAGTCTAACTAGTGTGTTAACGGATTTGTAAAATTGTTTCCGAAATTTCTGAATCGATAGATCAAAATAAATAGAAAGCAACAGTTGTTATTTTTTTCGTAATTTTTAGATTTAAATGTTCGCCCAAAGCCGGTAAGTCTTTCGCAAAATCTAGATAACTAGTAAGAGCCGCCTCATCAGATGTTTTTATTGCCCGTGCTTCCGAGACATATGTACACCAGCACGGGCATGGTGAGTGACTCAAAGAGTGTATTTCTGTACTTCACTTCTCAATTTACTACTCAGTCCAAAGTAGCAATTGTTGGCAAGAGAGATTCTCCGTTTGATTTCAAAACTGACTTTATTATTGGTGTTAATGCTGGGTCCCAAAAAACGAAGTCGTCCACTTTTTCAAATTTGTAAATGTCAACAGTGACGTGGATGCCAAGCCGCTTATACGTTGTCTGTTTTTGTGCTGACAGGAGATACTTTGTTTTTTCCTCGTTCACTACAAGACCCATTCACTATACTTCGCTATCTTATTCCGAGAAGGCAGAATAGACTTATCCCTTATTTATACAGATGATTTCAATTTCAATCGGCATTACCCGAGAGGTTTAGTTTTGTGGCTCTTATTGTCCTCTCCAACATCACATTAAAGAAATCACACGAAATCCGATTACGACGGAGATAGTTGTATTGCCCAAAGTCATTTTTAGTTTCGCGGAAATTTCAGGTCCAGCAGCTCAGTTGTTTTTCAGTCGAGTAGTTGCTTTCGTACCTCTTCTCCGCGGCGGTATTTAATGAGTGGGAAATGTGGTTCCACTGCGCACATACGCACACCATCCTCAAATGTGACAGAATTCAAAATTTTGCATTTTTGAAATTATGCGCTAAAAATTTACAAAGACCTTCTATTTGCCTTTCAGCAAAAGCTGTAGCAAATATTTGTTATATTATGTTGAAAAACCAAAGGTAAAGTCTCCCTTGCCCATATGATTAGCAAACGTGTAACTTTGAGTTGTCACCTTTGAAGATCGTGTGTGTTATGTCGGCTTGTGGAAAAGTCAGTTGTGATTCAGCTTTTCGGCGTTGAGATTTCCTTGTGTTACTAATAATAATAGTAGATTGGCGCTTAAACATGTGTTAGTGTTTGACCGAGCTTCTCCTCCGATTTGTGGTGTGCGCCTTGATGTTGCCACATAAAGGGGAGGAACCTAGAGTTTTACGCTGACTCCGAACAGCGATTGTATTTTCATTAGAAGCTGTTTTTCATGGCCGAAATATACTCAGAAGTTTGCCATTGCCTGCTGAGGGGCGACCGCTATTAGAGAAACACTTTATATATATATATATATATATATATATATATATATATATTTTTTTACTTTGGAATGGTAGCGCGCACTGCTAACCACTTCACCACATCGGCCGCCTTGACCTTGCATTAATGGACGCTAAAACACTGAAAGCCACGTAGCTTAGTATGTCTCTTTATGCTGCAACTTATTACTATATATGTACTATAATTGGGACAAAACATCGCTTCCTTCGTAACGGGGGCAGCTATCTTACGTGCGCTCCAAGTGCCCATAAGAGAAAACCGTGGATGCCTCGTTCTTCTCTTCTGTAAGGGCGTGAGCGCAAATGACAAGCTGTTGAAGAATCTTGCTTTGATTTAGATTGTGGCTAGACGCTCGTCCACTGGAGTGAACGGCAGCATTCGGCGACGGAGTCTCTCACCCACCACAAATCCAACCAAATTTGAGCTGCTTTATGTGGCAACGGTAGAAAACGTTCGCAAGATCCTATGCTTTTGTTGCCCTGTCCCGTCCATGGCATATCTTGTAGGGCGGTGATGTCAGCCTTTGAGGACATCAACCAGTCGAGCAGCGGCACCTTCCCCAATAAGGGCCCGGACATTCTAGGTGCATGCCCCCAAATCGTAGTCGTTTAAACGTTTGCCGTGCCATCAAAAGAAGGGAGTCTCGTCCAAGGCATCGTTTTTCTTTCATTGCTTTTTTTTTTTTACTCAGTGGGTCCCAAACCCAGCGCACAATCTACTGCCCCATATGCAAGATCATGATTCAATAATACAAGGTTGGATAAGCTGGCATTTGTCTCGCTCCCGCATTCTGCCTTAGCCTGTGTTGTTGTCTTTTTTGATTTATAGAAACTACTACTAAAATACATGGAGAAATATTGTCTTCGTAAAAAAGTTCAACAGGCAACACAGCCGATATTTTCATGGATTTTTTTCTTGGAAATTCATTTTCTTATTGTGCGAATTCAAGTAAGTATGCCAGAAAAATGAAAAATAATGGAAATATTTTGAATTAAAACAATAGTATACATATTTTTTTGCAGAGTATCGGGAGTTATTTAATTTTTTTTTGAAAAACTAGCGTTTTATAGCAGGTGCAGCCGCTGCAAGTAAGTTTTGCGGGCTTGGATCTCTGTGTGTCCGTCCACGTTTGGCTGGAGCAGTCCACTCGGAACTACAACTGCAGCGGTTTATTTGGCCAAGTGCATCCGTTGCATACTTACAAGTAAGTACAAGGCGCCATAAGTGTGAAGATTAAAATATTAACAACGATTTTTTCATGTACAGGTCAGGATCACTTTGTGTCCGTCCACGTTCGCTGGTGCAGGTCTTTTTCACAACTGTAGCCTTTTGTTTGGACAAGTGCAGCCTTTGCATACTTACAAGTAAGAATACAACCCCAAAAAAGTGAAAATGCAGATATTAATAAAGATTTTTTCTTGTGCAGGTCAGGATCGCTTTGTGTGTCCATCCACGCGCAAGTTGAGCCTCATTGGTTCCAGGATTCGCATCTGATCGCAGGTACAACTTTTTCCTTACCGCAAGTAACGCAAGTTCATCGTCGTCCTCTGGATAGTGCTTTATAATAAGAAAATAAGCAAGAAAAAATCGATTTTAATATGCACTAAAACAGTGGTACATATGCTGGCAAATATGCTCGCAAAACAACAAAATTTAGTGTTCAGTTTAATGTTTTTTTTTCAATAACACCTAGATGTTAAGATTTCTAAGATGTCTCCACGATTAGCAGAATCCGAGATATACCGATTTGAAGAAGTACATGATTAGTCCGAATCACGAAAAATGCAAACTTAGACAGATCATATCTCCGAAGAAAAAAAAATATAAAAAAATTTCCTCGAATACGTGTTAGCTTATTTCATGTATAGAACCCATAAAAAAAAATAAGCCAATCGAAAGTGTGACACCAAATTTGGTGTCCGATATGGAAAAAAATTTCTCATATACACATTTGATGATTTGCCTTTTTTAAGATATTTGTCCTTTTTGCCTTTTCTAACTTTAATTGTAAAGGGCAAGGAAAAATCCCTTATTCTTGATTATATGAAAGTTTCAAACGTTCCATATTTAAAAATGGCGTCACTTGTATCAACTCACGTGGAGTGCACGTTTAGTACATTCAAGGCTTTTCTTAGCGAAAATCTAATGAAAATGCTGCCAGAAAACTTCGAAATGCACCTTGTGGTTCAATGTTACTACAAGTATATGGATTGAAGTTTTGCGAGTTAAAAACTCGAAAGGAGAAAATAGTCAAAGATTCAAAGTACAATTTTTTCATAAAATTAAACTAGTTCATAGTTTTTCTCTTTTATACTTGTAAAATAAACATTTCTAAAATAAATGTATTTTTGATAATTTTTCGGTGTTTGTGTTTTTAGCGCCTTCTTTTGCCCTTTTTTTTTTTGCGATTTTTGGTGTTTTTCCTGTCTATTTCGCAATTTTATTTTGCCTTTTCTTAGCCAATTTAGTTATTTTATTTTGCCTTTTTTATAGGTTTTTAGGTCCTAAAAATCCGTTCCCTGATGATTAACAACACTGGTTGGAGCAAATAGTAGAAAACATTACCTAAAATTTAAATTTTTAAAAAGCAAATGTATGTAATTCAATTTAAGATATTGAATATGTAATTTTTAAATGCAACAAAAATAAAAAATTCATCACTAATCGAATTTCATCGAAATGCCAATCACAAAGCATATAAATGTACCACTAATTTTTTAAAGGATTAATTTATATCGTCGTTTAAAGTACAAAATCGCGTATCATTCTGCAAAACCGCGTAACTGGCATTTTGGATTTGCTCACATAAGCTCTTGGCTCAGTCCTTATCCATTCGTCCTTAAATATACTAGCCAGAAATCTGATTGCTTTATAAAAAAGAGAACCATTTTGAAATATGAGTGTTTTTACTCTCTGGAAAATAATTTATGCAACCTCACATACGCGGTTTTGCATTTTGTTGATACGCGGTTTTGCACTTTAAACGACGATATACATTATATCATATGCAGGCAGATTCTGTAATTCACTTCCGAATGAATTTCAACCTCTGCCAATTTGAATTCAACTTGAATTCGACTCATATTCACTCGGAAGTGATTTTCAGAACCTGCCTGAGTGTTGTCCCTAAATGATTTGTTTGTATTATATTCATTTGTTTAATATATACCGAAATTTTAATGAAACCATGGTTTATTTTGAATGTTTGGGAATATTTGTCGAAAATACTCTTCCTTGGGCAGAATTTTATGTGAATAAAATTCTCTCATTCGTTTATGTATATAATTTTGAATATCTACATAGCATGTTTAATATACCATAAAAGTTAATCCATTGTCTATTGTGTAGATCAGAGGAATCATTCTTTATATGTTTAATTAAATTTTTATACAAAAAACGCATTTCAGCACTACCAACCAGACTATTTGTCCTCCTACCTTTTAACAAAAGGGGATACAATTTTTACCCGCTTTCTTTTTCTTTCTCAAATGCAACCTTACAAGGTAGTCGATTGACACCAGGGAAGCCAACTCGTGGGGAATTTCCCGGTTTCGGGTTACGTGGGGAACCGGGGGATGGACTGGTTTTTTGTGAGAAATTAGTGTGACTAATTTTTTTCTTTTTTGTTTCACTGATTTCATAATGAGTTAAAAAAGTTGCATAAGAAATACTACTGTAACTAAAAGTACTGCTTTTGCAACCCTGCCAATTATGCAAACAACCGTTGATTTTTTTAGAAATTGCCTTGTCGCATTTGCTTTCCTATAGTGAATGAAACAATTTATTTTTATATGGCAGAAAACCGCAACCAACCCCAAGCAAAATTTTAAAAGGAAAATTTTTAGCCACTTGAAACTTGCACCTTAATATACTAGAACTGAGTGTGCTACAATACTGCATACCCGAAATCTTTCTAGGGAATCGAATTAAAAAAGCTCGAAATTTTTACGAAAGTTTGCTGAATTTTTCAATATTGCAGAAAGTTTGAAACTTGGATTTATACGGTTTTTATTATTAAACTATATTTTTATAAAAAAACTCAAATTAAATAACTAAAAAAAAAATTATTCTGAAAGCTTGTCAAAATTTGGGGCGACAATTTTTACGACCACAGTATGTATGTAAGTATTATATGTACATTTTTTTTATTTTTTATTTGTTCACTAACTTTACAAAAATTTGGGTTGATTTATGAATACATAGATAAATAAAATAGACAGAAAAACCACCAAAATATATCAAAATGCAATATATATTTTTTTTTAATAAGGAGATATCTATGGGTGGGGAATTTTACGAAATTTCGGGCAAAATCGGGGAATTTCATAGTCGAAATCGGGGAATTCTCAAAAATGAGATGGCTACCCTGATTGACACACATGTCAATATTTATCCAACTTGTATTATTGAATCCTGTTATAAAAAATATGCATGATAAGTAGCTGTACACCTTATTTTTACGGTCACTGTTTTTGCCATAAAAAGATTTTATCTGGGATATAGTAACGAAAAATAACGCAACCGATGATAACAATTTATGAATGGGTTGAGTTGCCACCACTAACTACTCGTAGTTTCAACAACATGGAATAATTTCCAATTGGCGTCTCTATCAGCTGCTACAGTTTTATTCTACAATTTTTGTACATAATTAACATCTATTTATGTATATATATAGGTATGTAGATAAAAACATACTCAGATACGTTTGTTTCCATCAGCAGCGACTGAACAAACATAAACAAATGAGGATGGGCGCAAGTGAGATAGCAGAATACAGCTGGTGACGCTCTCAGCATTTGCTGGCTTTCCATGCGGTTGTGGCAGTGGATTTCCGTTCCAAATTCGTGGTTTCTCACCTTCCACTTCCAGTGTAGTTATATAGCTTTACCGAAACAAGTCGAATTGTGAAACGGTTGCAGTCTATATTTATTTCTCTTTTCACTGCGGGAAGAGCGAGCGAGCGCGAATGAAAGAGAGGGAGGCAGGGATGGTGAGAGCATTAATGGCGTGTGTGCTCTTTGGTACTTTGAGACGAAAGATTTTTTACGACACGGCGGCAAAAAAAGTACAGTCATCACAAAAACGTAAGCCTCTTCGCGACGCTAGTGGCGGCGGCGAATCGTTACGGCACGGCACAGAAGTCAAAATGCAGCATTGAATGCATACCATTCAAATGAACAGGCGTATGCAACAGTGGCCGGATAAACAACCATTTGAATAAAAGCAAAGTACTCGCTATTTTTGCACTTTGCTTCGTGTTTATTAGCTTGCTATCTGATAAGCTGACTACAACTCGTTGTTCTTCATTTTTTTATTTGTTTACTTTCCCATATATGTACATATCGTCGTTTAAAGTACAAAACCGCTTATCAACAAAATGCAAAACCGCGTATGTGAGGTTGCATAAATTATTTTCTAGAGAGTAAAAACACTCATATTTCAAAGTGGTTTTCTTTTTTATAAAGCAATCGCATTTCTTGCTGGTATATTTCAGGACGAATGTATAAGGATTGAGCCAAAAACTTACATCAAATTTCAGTTACGCGGTTTTGTGGAAGGGCGGTACGGCCGCGGTTTTGTACTTTAAACGACGATATACATACATACATACATATGGTCGTTTAAAGTACAAAACCGCGTATCGTCATTCTGCAAAACCGCGTAACTGACATTGGCTGCCAAAAATTGGATTTGCTCACACAAGCTGTTGGCTCAATTCTTATCCATTCGTCTTAAAATATACTTGCCAGAAATGCGATTTCCTTGTAAAAAAGTGAACTATTTTGAAATATGAGTGTTTTTACTGTCTAGATAATAATTTATACAACCTCACATATGCGGTTTTGCATTTTCCTGATACGCGGTTTTGCATTTTGTTGATACGCGGTTTTGTACTTTTAACGACGATATGTACCTACTAGATTCGTACGTATGTATAGCGAAAATTTGTGTTGGTCCCCAACCCGCCAAAAAATTCTTGACTGTTTTTGTTGGTAGTGAGTTTATTTTTACATCTGCGCTACATTGATTGGTGTGGGTAGGCCTCATTCGTTGCACTTCGTCTTCGTATCTTCAGCTGATCAAGTCAGCTGCATATTATGTATGTATGTATGGCATGTGCATATGTACAAATTCTTGCATCCAAATTAGCAAATTTGTATGACCGACTGGGCAGTGGAATGCGTAGCTTGTTTTTTGTTTCGGCTTTTGTTTATAATCACCCTCATTGCGAGAGTCGTGTCGAATGCAAGTGGTTTTTCGAGAGTCGAATCGTATCGAAAATTTCACGTCAAATTTCCACTCGACTAATGTATTAAAACGGAAAAACTTGGCAGCATTGTATGGTTTTCGACGATTTTGGTCGTTTACTTATTTCAGTACGACAATCGACAATGTTACTGTTGTTGAGTCGTACAATTTAGCCTAATTTATGACTTATCAATGAGGCTGAATAATACATACATACAACAGTGAATGTCACTTAAAACCGCACACCAAAGATCACTAAACCAAGCGCTGCGCCGAATAAATTGGCCCGTCGTGGTTGGTTGGTTGTAGTGCTACCCAAGATGACACTTAAGATTCAATTAGTGTTTCCCGAAAGTTTTATGTCTTAAAGAAGTCAGACCTGGGCATTCGCACAGGAAATAAAATACTGTTTCTTCACTACCAG